CACTGCCCGTTCAGCATTGCGGTCATCGGAAGCCCGCCCCTCAGGGGGGCGGGCTTGCGATGATCGAGAGTGCGATCTGCCTGTCCAAGATAGGCAGATCGTACGTTTTTTTAATCCCTTTACAACCATCGCAAGACTAAAGTCTTGCGATGGTTGTAGAGTGTATGGCCACCTTTATAGGATGTCTGCAGTACTGAGTACATGATATTCTGAGTCTTATAGGATGTCTGCAGTACTGAGTACATGATATTCTGAGTCTTATAGGATGTCTGTAGTACTGAGTACATGATATTCTGAGTCTTTTAGGATGTCTGCAGTACTGAGTACACGATATTCTGAGTCTTCTAGGATGTCTGCAGTACTGAGTACATGATATTCTGAATCTTATAGGATGTCTGCAGTACTGAGTACATGATATTCTGAGTCTTATAGGATGTCTGTAGTACTGAGTACATGATATTCTGAGTCTTCTAGGATGTCTGTAGTACTGAATACATGATATTCTGAGTCTTCTATGCTGCCAGTAGTACTGAGCACATGATATTCTGAGTCTTATAGGATGTCTGTAGTACTGAGTACATGATATTCTGAATCTTATAGGATGTCTGTAGTACTGAGTACATGATATTCTGAGTCTTATAGGATGTCTGTAGTACTGAGTACATGATATTCTGAATCTTATAGGATGTCTGTAGTACTGAGTATATGATATTCTGAGTCTGCTAGGATGTCTGTAGTTCTGAGTACATGATATTCTGAGTCTTATAGGATGTCTGCGGTACTGAGTACATGATATTCTGAGTCTTCTAGGACAGTGCTCCCCAACCTTTTTATCGCCGCGGACAGGTCGACGCTTGATAATTTTACCGTGGCCCGCTGAGGGGGGGGCGTTGATTGTTTATATTTTAGATTGTTTTGATTTAATAATTTTAATTTAATTGTATTTAAACATGCCTTCAAAATGAAATACAGTTACACCAAAAAATGAAAGCGTTGGAATTCTTCACCTATTCCACCACCGAAAAACTGGGCGAGATTACGTTAAAATGTGTGACCACGTCACTGGTCACACATTCTAACGTAGTCTCAAACGTTGATAGATCACATGCCTACCTGTAATAACGATGACTCAGTTCCTTTTTCCGTAAGCCCCACCCTTCTTCCTGAGAGCAGTACTTTCTGTGTCATGGCCACAGCTAACAGGCCACATGTAACTAGGACACATGTACTCTGCACAGTACGCGAGGAAAGGCATCATTTTTTGACCGCACAATACTATAACCATTCAACTGCTGTTCCATCCATCTGCTGTAACCTTGATGTTCAGAATAAAGCACCCTTTTGAATGAATCGGTATTGGTGAGTTCAGCTATCTGGCAAGGATTGTCCGCAGTGAGTACATCTGCTTATACAGGCCAGGCATAGAGGTCTCAGCAAGGGATATATCGCTATCACAACAATCGGAGTCAGAATATCTAGGATGTCTGTAGTACTGAGTACATGATATTCTGAGTATTCTATGCTGCCTGCAGTACTGAGTACATGATATTCCGAGTCTTCTAGGATGTCTGCAGTACTGAGTACATGATATTCTGAGTCTTATAGGATGTCTGTAGTACTGAGTACATGATATTCTGAGTCTTCTAGGATGTCTGCAGAACTGAGTACATGATATTCCGAGTCTTCTAGGATGTCTGCAGTACTGAGTACATGATATTTTGAGTCTTCTAGGATGTCTGCAGTACTGAGTACATGATATTCTGAGTCTTCTAGGATGTCTGCAGAACTGAGTACATGATATTCTGAGTCTTCTAGGATGTCTGTAGTACTGACTGAGTACATGATATTCTGAGTCTTCTACGATGTCTGTAGTACTGAGTTCATGATATTCTGAGTATTCTATGCTGCCTGCAGTACTGAGTACATGATATTCCGAGTCTTCTAGGATGTCTGCAGTACTGAGTACATGATATTCTGAGTCTTTGTAGTTCCACCACAGCTGGAGGGCCGGAGTTTGGCTGTCTTCTATGATACCTGCAGTACACCGTACATGCTATGTTAGATCTTCTATGCTGCCTGCAGTATGGGTTACAACAAGGGCATTCTGAGATTGCAGGGTATCCTAGGGACACTTAGGATGTACAGTACCTCTATATCCATACAGCTCTCTGCTTAGAGTTAGCTGTGGCTGTACTCATCCTTCCAGCCGTCCTTGCTGCCTACTACATGTGGACTGTTAGCCACAAACGATATATTATATCCCACTGGACCATTAAGTTGATGCCGTGTAGTCACATTCCTTTTCTCAGGAATTTCTGTGGAGTATTCTGCAGTATGAGCAAAAAACTTTCTGAAATGTGAAGGTTGATATTTAATGTTCTGTGAAATGCTAAGTGGTGTATAAAGATTTATGTTTAGTACACTGAGCATTGTGTATTGTCTGCAGAAAATATATGCTAAACCTTGACATTTCTAATACTATACAGAGCACTGGCACTCAGTTTCCTCCCTTCACCATCAGATGGAGTAAAGTCAAAACCTGCCGCAGTCTGGCGTGTCTATGTTACATCTCATATTCCATAGTCATCTGTTACCCTAATCACGCCACATTCTCTGCCACTCTGGCCTGTATTCTATCCAGGTTTCCATGCACACCACTCTACACATTTATTGCAGCACTTAAAGTGGACCTGTAGTTTCACAAAATTCCTTTTAAATAAATGTTTCATTCACAAACATTAAAACATGTGAGGCAGATGTAATCCATTCCTCATTATTGTAAACATTTCCCAAGAGAAATGTGGGGCTGCCATTGTTGAACTCCAGAAAATTCCAATTGCCTGGCTGTTTTACTGGCCATCTAGTTTCAATACTTTGTGAGTCACTGACCCAGTACAATAATGCAGATCAGGAAAGTCAGAATGAAGTCAAAAGTCCTCACCGGTGTAATTGTTCTGGGTTAGTGATTTAAAGAACCCAAGTAACAGGGTCACCATGACAACCAGGCAAATAGCATTTGCAGAGTGGGAAGTCATCAAGGGCAGCCTCTGTGTTGCTTCCAGGAATGGGTTACTTTAAAGACTACTTGAAGCTTCTTAAAAAAATGATGTGCTTTGAAATGGTGAGTGCACAACGTCTTACGTTTGTTTCTTGCAACAGCTACCTTTAATTAGCCTGTCACCGGCCAGTATGCTGCAGAAAAGGCCGATGAGCTCTGTGTGTAAATTAGAGCTAGAGCTATGCAATCAAGAGGGACACACCCCCAGTGAATTAGAGCTAGAGCTATGCAATCAGGAGGGACACGCCCCCAGTGAGCTAGAGCTATGCAATCAGGAGGGACACGCCCCCAGTGAATTAGAGCTATGCAATCAAGAGGGACACACCCCCAGTGAATTAGAGCTAGAGCTATGCAATCAGGAGGGACACGCCCCCAGTGAATTAGAGCTATGCAATCAGGAGGGACACTTCCCCAGTGAATTAGAGCTAGAGCTATGCAATCAAGAGGGACACCCCCCCAGTGAATTAGAGCTAGGGCTATGCAATCAGAAGGGATACTGCCCCAGTAAATTAGAGCTAGAGCTATGCAATCAGGAGGGACACTTCCCCAGTGAATTAGAGCTAGAGCTATGCAATCAGGAGGGACACTTCCCCAGTGAATTAGAGCTAGAGCAATGTTACCAGCTGAGAGCATGAAGAATTTTATTGATTGCAAAGATTTAGCTGTCACTCAGCAGGCGATGTGTTGGGCCATTGCACACAGACCACTTCTCTTATACGGTCCACAGGGGTAAGACCAGCAAGTAGGCAGGTAAGTACTAAATTGTATGAAGTGTCTGCCAAAGGAGGGGGTCAGAGTTTACGCAGTGCTGCCGACTGGCCTGTGGTTCCAACAATATCCTATAGAAGAGACAATGTGAGCAATGCCACACTAATGCTTATGTAGTATAATGCTGCCCAATACTGGGATTACCTGTTTCTTTAATAAAGTCATATATTTTTTAAACTTGGTGTTTATTTATCAAACTGGAAATGTTGTTAGTCATAGGTTATGTATATCTTTTATTAGTCTATTGCTTTTCCTGTTATATTTCTGAGCGCTTTATTGATTATTTATACATCTCATAAACATGTCTGTGAAGGTTCTCATTCATCCAGATCATGATATATCTGAAAATGGAATCAAGGCAACTGGACTTGCCTTGATTTTTTTTTTTTTAACAGAACTCTCATAAGCATTTACACAATAACTGAATGATAACTGTATGCGAACCTCAAATTCTAGTATATTCTGAATTATATATAAATGGCAGATCCTTGTATCATGCAGTACAATTGTTATGTTTGTTTACACTGCATTTTACATGTTGTATGGATTATTCTGTATTATTCTGATTGTGCTGTACATAATGTACAATATGTAGAGATTTCTGAGCACAGAATGCAGGACACTGTGTACGTGCTGAAATCTTAGTCCGGTCCCCCTTTCTGCATGCTAGTCAGACTCCTCACCACAAAGTATATATTCTATCTTGCCAGACAATTAATATGGAAACAATTTCGTCACATCTCTGCTCTCAGATTACCTTCTCAAAGAAATCAGACTGTACTTTGCATTTACCAAATACCAGATGAGATAAAGTCAAAGTTGCACATTTTTCTGCCAATGTTAAAGTAGTATTAAACTCTCAAATGTTTTTTCACTAATGAATCCAGATCAAACAAATATACATTGTCCAGTAAACAGGATGACTGTAAGTGTTTGGACAAAAATGTAAAGAAATATTTTGCCGGGCATTGTATATTTGATCTGGATTCATTATTGAAAAAAAAGATTGGGAGTTTAGTACTTTAATATCACTCTAAATGCCTGCGGATCCCCAGCTTCCAGGACCGCATGCTATTCTGCATTGTATATAATACTACAAAACTGAAGAGGTAAAAAGCAAAAAAAAAATTGTTTTTTGTCTGGGTTTTTTGATAGAGTAGAATGTACACTCTTCCTGACAAGCTGATGAAAATATTTATAGGATAATAAGGGAATGGTATTGTCCCTATTGGAGACGACATGGCACAGAGTGCAGAACTGGAAACACAAGTGAGAGATCTTTCCAATAGAGTCCCCAAGAGTTATAAGAAACCAATGGGTGATACTTTTAAAGGAGTCATGGAGGGTAGTCATTTCACTAAGTGTTTAACGTGAACTTGACCTGGTGTAATACATTTCTAATGTAATAACGGTGCCAATTTGCAGTAAAGTGCCTGTATTAGTCTTGGAATTGATCCCTGAGGAGCCATTTGGATTTAAGTTGAGACTAATCCTCCTCCCAGTGTTAAGCTCTGCTACCTGTGGTTAAACTGCCAAATGCTACAGCCTCTGCTGACCACTGCAGTCATTTGAAGGGGACTTTGTCAAGCATTCAGGTGGAAAAGGGGGGGGAGCTTTATCTAGACCAGGGGTATCCAAACTCCGGCCCTCCGGCTGTGGTCAAACTACATGTCTATGGCTGTGAGAATCTTGCAATGCCTCATGGGATTTGTAGTTCCACCACAGCTGGAGGGCCGGAGTTTGGCTACCCCTGATCTAGACTGAGTCGAAGTCAAGGTTCAATGTACTGCCTGAACCTAGAATTTAAGGGCTAAAACAGGTACTTTAGAACACTTCTTATTTTAGAAATCTTTTTTGTCAGCTCAAGTTTACTGTAAAAGCCACCTCAATGTAATGTCCCTTTCTATCACTCAAATATAATGTTAATACCGTTCAGATTTGTGATCTGCCATGTTCATGTTGTCTGTAGAAACGTGGAATTCAGATATCCTTATCTTCTCTTCCTTTTTGCCATAGATAGAATAGTAGACGTAGAACTTTCCATTGTGCCGGAAGTCAGGATGCATGGCAATGCCCAGGAAACCTCTCTCATCTCCAGCCCATGGAGAGGTAAGTACAGCCTTGGAGACATTAAGAAATGGCCTGTCCACTTGTGAACCATTAGAGAGATAGACCCACACATATCCCATCTGCTCAGCTATGAAGAAGCGGTGGGTTCCATCGTTGGCATGAACCATAGCCACCGGATTACGCAGTCCATTGGCAATCTCTTGTAAGCATAGCTGTAGACATCCCTCTTCATCTGCCTTCACTTGCCCCAGACCATTATTGAGTTCTGCGTTAGTAAGGACATTGGGGTAGCAATAGTTAACATCATCCAGTGTGAGATAGCGGCAAAACTTGACCACATCACTTTCTATTGCTGAAAGGTCTCTGTCCTCTATGAACAGGCTGAGGGTGGACCGACACCGGAACCAGAACTCTGTACAGTAGTTACCACAGAGACCTGGGAGTTCACGGAGAGGGGTGTTGGCATCTTCTGCATCATATAAATGAGCTGCGTAGGGAGAGCACTCCTAAAAAAAAATAAAGATACAGTTAATAACGAGATGAAGGACAAGAAAAATTTGCTGTAGCAGTGGTTAACGTTTTGTGAGATTTAAAGGAAGAGAGAGGCAACTTTATTACCTGCAGCTTTTAAGAAACTACCCAACGTCCCAAGAACTTATTTCCCATATGCTCCCAGTACACATACAGACAAAAACAGTAAGTCACAGCACGCCAAAGGTTCTCCAATCAGTTATTTTTATTCCATGTGTAAAGTTACATCACCAAGTGTAGCTACACTTGCTGATATAACTTTATAAATGGAATAAAAATAACTTTGCTTGGAGAACCTTTGGAGTGCTGGTGACTTACTGTTTTGTTTATCTGATCCAGCAGCGCCATCCGCTGTCATTTCAGCAACCCCCCCATTGGAAGTTGGGGCATTCGTGGTCAGAAGTGGGGTGGGGTCCCCTACATGACAGTACACATACTGTATAGGACTTATGGTTTATGATGGTTTATGATCACCTGATTAAAAGTGAAATCTTAGAAAGTTACTGCCTTAAAGAAAACCTTTCATAAGCCTGAGGAACTGAGTATGTGATAAAAATAACATTAGCAGAGATTTTCATTAGTGAAACCTCATGTGAAAACAAGTAGATCCTGGGCTATAGGCAGCTGAAGTTATACACTGAGTGGCCAGATTATTATGACCATCTCGTAAAGTCATATTGTGGCCCAACGAAGTACTGATGGGGTGGTCATTATAAATAATTTGGCCACTCAGTGTATATAGATATGGACTTTTCCTGTGAAAGGTTGAGCTTGGTTTCGCCCACTTCCCCCACTCAAGCCTCACCATTGCTCATTCTTGTCATGGGCAGCCTCACTGGCCAAGAGATAAGGTTGAGTGGTGGGCAGGCAGGACCAAGTTCAACCTCAAAAGCCCATGATATAGAATAAGCTATTAAGTCTGGATGAAGAAAGCTGAGCTGACTCAAGTGGTAGTGGGCTCATAGCTGCTCATCTGATTGCATATGAGATGCTTTTGATTGGCTTTTGAGCCCCTATGCAGTTGGTTTTGCAATAATTAGAGAAATGCCAAGAAGGATGCTGCTTCAGGCGGACCTCTGAGTATCTTCCACCAGCTTCAGGCCAAATGGGATCCATCCTCTCCCCCTGCCTGACTGGTCAGAGGAGGAGGAATAAGAGTCTTGCTTTAGGCGGGGGATATGTCTGATGTTTTATACAGCCCAATAAAGTTGATTGAAAAAGAAAAAAACGGGATTTAACAGACAATGTGCAGCTTTTTTGTATTGTTTTTGCACTCACCTTGATGTTTAAAGGAAAGAAGCAAACAAATGTCCCCGCACACAGATTGGAGGGAACAGACTGCATAGTAATAGAGGAGTGTAGCAATTACAGATTGTTCTAGAATGAAACGCTCAGATATCAGCGGTAGATTTATCAGTAGGAATATTGTAAGGCGTATAAAGAGTATCATTCGGCAAAACGAAGTCATTATTTGTGGTTAGAAGATAAAAGTGCTATTATGCAGCAGAACACGTGGGGGGAACATTTCTTTGTGTTCCAAACATAGATACATTCCAATTTCCTTCTAGTGTGACTGCAAAACAATTCCCCTGGGTGTTCCAAGGTACCAGAATTGTTCTGTTTACCTCACTTTGTGTTAAATTCTACTTTGTTCTTAAAAATGTGTTTTATTAGTATATTAAAGTTACTGTAAACCCTAACAATGATCCTCTCTTATCCGGTCCGTTAAATATTCAATTGAAAGTGCTTTCTTATAGCTGTTCAAATAAATGCAAAAAATACCTGTAGATCCTGCCAGAAATCTTGCTGATCACTTCCTGTGCTCTCTGACCGTGCTGACTGTGCCCCGCTATCTCGGAGGACTACAAAACCACTTATCTATGTTATAAAGAAGAAGAGGAGGGTTCTGTAGTCCTCCCCTAGGGTAACAACGCGGGGACAATGTTGCTTCTCCATAGATACAGTACAGTGAGCGAGTGTTTCCACCCTAGACTAGAAGGTGTTTTGGGCAGAGTTGACGTGTTAAATTAAGGGAAAAAGAGTTTGAAAAAAAGAAAACCAATGCAGCCACCACATCTAGGGACTGGTAAGCTGCAATACAGAAGATGTTTGCTTTGGAATTTAGATATAATTTAAGGTTAAATGTTAAAGTCAGGTCAGCTGTTAGGGATGGGGATTTTTTTGCACACTTTTCACCAGGGTATGTATTCCTCCCCTGTGCCCCTGCGTAGAAGCATGTGCAGCCTGCAAGTATCCACAGCAGTTTTTGCATAGTAAGGGTATACCTCATCACCTTGTGGTGTCTTCTACAGCCCCCTGCTATCGGTTTCTACTAGTCACAGGTTTCCATTAATTGTAATCTTAAAGGAGAACTATGGAGTTAGGGCTTTTCCCCATAGTTCTCCTAAGGGTAACGGGAGGACACAAACTAGCATCATCCCGTCACCCAAAGCTCAGTATACCGCGAGCTACATCTCGCGGTATACTGAGACGCCGCAGCTGAAACGGATCCCGACAATTATGTCTAGATCCGCCCAGCTGCGTAAGTGACAGCTGGCTCTGCCTATCTACAGGCAAAGCCAGCTGTATCCGCCCCCTACCCCATCCGTTCCGCCAGTCAGCGCTGGAGGATTGGACAGGGGGGCAATCCAGTCCCTCCCCTGTCACGGCTCTCTGCAGTGACAGGATCGAGAAGTGAGCGAGCGCCGGTATGGGTTTGCTCACTTCCCTATCTACTGAGCCGACCTGTGACAGTTTCATTGTCACAGGTCGGCTAGAACTATGAGGATGAGTGAAAAGCACTCACCTCATTGTTCTCCTTTAAAGACTTCATTTTTCAGTTTTACTAAATGACAAATGGTATTTTTTCCCTTTCCTGCAGTGTTCATAAATTAGACTTATTAGATAAAGAAATTGGGCTCTTCAGACTATGATGTGTATTCATGTGACATTGACACTCTTTACAGTGACCTTATTTAAATAGAAAAATCACACCGAAACCACAGAATGTAGGACTTCTCCCAAAAGACTTCAGCATGGTTTGTTGGTGGGCAAAGGCCCTGTAATAAACAGCATGTTGGCCTTTGTCCATGTTCAATGCATGACAGCATGTCTGCTGTGAACAAGCCCATATTCCAGAAGGATTAACCACATAAGGAACATACAGATCAAGGTGCTGACAGGGCAAAAGAAATCAGATGCGTAATATTAGCTTATGTGTTCTGGGTGTGCACAGCATCACTGGTTGATAAGATGTTGTTGGCCTTGCATCTAACAGCATCCTAGCAACCAAAGGCTCTATGCAGTCGACAGCATCCTAGCAAGCAATGATGCTATGCAGGCAACAGCGTCCTAGCAACCAATGACACTATGCGGGCAAAAGCGTCCTAGCAACCAATGACACTATGCAGCAGACAGCGACTTAGCAACCAACAATGCTATGCAGCCGACAGCATACTAGAAACCAATGATACTATGCAGCTGGCAGCATCCTAGCAACCAATAACACTATGTAGCAGACAGCGACTTAGCAACCAACGATGCTATGCAGCCGACAGCATCAAAGAAACCAATGACACTATGCAGCTGACAGCATCCTAGCAACCAATGATGCCACGCAGCTGAGGGCATCCTAGCAACCAATGCCTCTATGCAGTCAACAACATCCTAGCAACCAATGGTGCTATGCAGCCAACAGCGTCCTAGCAACCAATGACTCTATGCAGCAGACAGTGACTTAGCAACCAATGATGCTATTCAGCTGACAGAGTCCTAGCAACCAGTGGCACTGTGCAGTGGGCAGCAAACTAGCAACCAATGACGCTATGCAGCTGACAACATCCTAGCAACCAATGATGATGTACAGTGGGGGGGCTGAGCAGGCACTTAAGATGGAGTGTCTAGTATGCAGACTCTAGTATGGAACATGTTTCTGATAGGTACATGAATCATGAAGTACAGGAAGTAACTTGTGCTCCCTTGAGATCTACGAGTCCCTCTGCTGTGGTGGCAAATTGCACTGGTAGTCTTTTCAATATCAGAGCCTGTGAATGGATCTGGGAATGGTTTATGCGGCAGTGCGGGCTGAGCCACCCCACATTAAAATGTACACCAAAGGCAGCAGGGAGAAGAACCCCACAATTCAAGTAAATACACTCTAAATGTGGATTTAATGTGAAACATGGCTTGAAATGTGCACCAACCATAGTCTGGGGGCTGAACAAAAGAAATCTAACAAATTCCTCCATCCATGCTACAGTGTGGATAGATGCACCTTCCCTGCTGGACTATTGTATTCTGACAGCCACTGCCTACAGCTGTCAGAATATCAGAACAGTGACTGCAGCTGACTGGCTACAGTCACCGTTCGGCTGACAATCAACTTTTGTGTAGCTGGATGGTGCCTCCAGGGCCACCCACGGCTCGAATTCGGCAGTGTATGGCCATCTTTAGCCTTTAAGATCTCAGGGTTGTAAAGTGCATGCCTGGTGATCTCACTGAGGATACAAACAATGACCTAGTGTCACATAGACAAGAAACCTGCACATTTAAGGGATACAGTGATGACCATTGAAGGAGGTTAAACTGCCTCTTTGTGCAGAAGAGGTTTCTTTTCAGATATGTGATGTGTCAGTCCTATTTATTATGACAGCTATATGCTGCAAGCTGTGTGGGAAATATCTGGAGCAGATTCACCTGTGATTCCTAGCACTGCTCTGACAGAATGTCAGCCATAGCTCCATTGTTTGCAGTTGCTGGAGGTGCAGGCAAACATGGAGGAGATGATGGAGACCATGTGTCCCGTACATACACTACTGACAGGGAAACAAACACTTGTCACTGGTGGCTCTCCCCGCAGGGGTCTCTCCACTTCCCCCCTCCTTTGCCCCTATCTATCTTCTCCAGGCCCTGCGTGTATATATTTGGCTTCCAGACATAGCTCTCTTCTCATCCTCTCACAAGGGGTTTCCGTAAAGACCACAATGGGGCCTTGTGCGGCTTCCTCTCATACATGCACAAAGTTCCCTGTCCGGATGCCAGCTGTAATATTAACCTTACAATCCGCTCGGCCCGTCTCTGAAGCGTGGGAGACACAAGTGGAAAACTGGGGCATCTCATTAATTATCGGGTAGCTTGTGACGGAGGCTGGCAAGAAGTGATCACATTCTATGTCACGTCCATTTTAAAGAGCTGAAACACCGTCCAAACCAAAGAGAGACAGGAAGGAGATGGGGAGCCCAGGGAGCGCAGCGGGAAAAGGGACATGGCAGGGGACCGGGCTGACCCAAAAGGGATAGAAGCCAAAGGGACATGAATGAGGCGAGCAGAGGTAGAAGGGACAAGAAGGAGTTACATAGGGAATTTATCAAAACTGGAGCAGACAAAATCTGGAGTAGTTGCCCATGGCAACGACCATCTTTCAGTTTCAGGTTTAACTGAACAAACTGAAGAGAGAAGCTGATTGGTTACTATGGGCAACTGCTCCAGATTCTGTTTGCTCTAGTTTTGATAACCCCCCGAGAATCCAGAGCAGCTAGATCAACCAATCAACTTCCCTCTTCAGTTTGCTGGGTTAAGCTTTGAAAATAAAAGAGAGAAGCTGATAGGTTGCCATGGGCAACTGCTCCACATTCTGTCTGCTCCAGTTTTGATCAATTACCATCTACGTGTGGTGAAAAGAAAAACTGAGAGAGTCCCATCATGCCAAGCCAGTCAGTGACTCACTATCTCTTGTTGGTTGAGAAACTACATATCCAATCATGCCCTTGACCATGACCATAGCTGCCTAGGTATTGTGACTTCCACTAGCCCATGACAAAGTTGACAGTTTCTTAGTAGCTGACTGGCAAGGCATGGTGGAACTTGTAGTCCCCCAACAGCAGAGATTTTAAAAATTCCCCCCTGCAGAAATGAGAGGTTAAGTCCTGGTTCACACAGGCGCAGGGACCCGTGCAGCGTTATTGAGTCATTTGTTTATGCAGCTGGGAATGCTGAAAGACAATGCAGCTAATCGGATCTTCCTGAACATCCCAGCGTGGAACTGCGTGCAGCCAACGATGTACACCCGTGGATGCAGACTGTCTCAGGAACTTAGAAGCGTCTCAGACTGATGTCATGTGCATGCTGAATGCACCTAAAAGCATGCCGCATTTGCCCATCTACACTAGTCCTAGCACGGAGAGTTTCCTGGCAGGAGACAACATTGGCCTCCTTAGCCGAATGCTGCTCCTATACCTCCCAGTCAAAGGTCATTGACCAAACAGTACTGCTTAGTTGCTGTGCAGAAATGTGTAGTCAGTGACCTGGCTGTGCAATCTGTCAGGGGTGCCTGGATCAAAGTTGTAGTTGAACAGAGTCACAAACCTTTTGGTAGAAAAGTCAGGTCACAGGGACGCTGATAGGAGGGACATATCTTCTCAGCTGTGAATTCATCTATCTTCCAGTTAAACTTTAGTTTTTATAGAATGTTAGGCTCTTTTCAGATGGGTGCGCCCATCACGTTCTCCAGTCAGTTTTTCAGGCAGATCGGTTCGGAAGCCCATTGTTACTCTATAAGCAGTTGGATCTAAACATGTGCGTCCATTTACATCCGATTACCTCCAACTCCGTCCAGGTCGGGAAAACCAAATGGAACAGAGTTTCCTTTTAGAGGAGCTGATCATGACCTGACATGATGCTGGCATGTTGCTAAAGTTAGGCCGAAATTTGACTTGCGTGTGGCCCTAATTGAGCTGGTCCACAAAAATCTCTTCTGAACAGTGACTGTGACTGTTTGCCTATTCTGATAGCGGCACAACCAGCTGCTGTCAGAATACAATAGACCAGCCGGGGGAATCCGGGGTCTAAGATTGCAGGGATAGGGATTGGGGGTAATCTGATGTAAACAGACACATGTCTTCTTACATCCGATTCCACAAAAACTAAGGCTGGGTACCAGACGAAGGCCGCGTTCTCGCTGGAGAGGCCCCGGGGGTGACAGGCTGCACATACTAAGGTAAGAGGGCACTTTCTTGTTAATCGGGACTCTTTACACGCTGCCCGGCTTCCCGGCTTATCAGGAAGCCAGGTGGCGAGTCATTACACGCCACCTGGCTTCCTGAATGGGACTTCCGTTACTCGGTAATTGTTATCGGCGAATACCGAACAAAAATTATCGGTACTCGTACTCGGTACCAAAATACCGGTATCGTTGCATCCCTATATAAAAGTATGCAAAATCTCGAGTCACCCCATGGTAAAATGTAATAAACCTAAATTAAAAAAATAATGTCCAAAACCCATTTCAGATAGGGGTCTGGTTTTTAAGGGGGGGGGGGGGCATGCAAAAACACAAATCAGAGCCCCCTTTTAAATTAGGAGCCCCCCTTACATCATAGCTCCCCTCTTTCACATCAAAGTCCCCCTTTACATTGGGATTCCTCTTCACATCAGTGTGTCCGCCCCCCACTCCAGGAGTCCCCCTTCCCATGAGAGCTCTCTCCTTTAACATCAGGTGCCCTCTAAACATCAGAAGCCGCCTCTTAACATCAGAAGCCTCCTTTTCACATCAGAGTATTGCCTTTATATCAGAGATCCCCTTTTACACCAGAGCTCCCCCTTCACATCAAAAGCCTACCCGCACCATGGAAAGGCTTGACGCTGTGTGAACATTTCAAGGCACCCCTAAAAAAGCCAGGAGGCACCCAGGTTGAGAAAGGCTGGTATAGAGACTGAATTCTATATGTAGATTCTATTTTTCAGACCATTTTTGGAGCAGTTATGGAGCCTCACATATTATTTTACATAACACGGCAGGTCGTTGAATAGGTGGGGGGATGCAAACATCCATGCCTGGTGAAATGGAAAATAACAGAGCTTTTTCAGTAAAAACTACACGAAATGATAAGACAACTTCAATACCTGGCACAGGATGTCCCGTATGTACTCTCCGCAGGCGGCGACCCCTGTGATGTCCAAGGATTCTGTGATATATCCAAACTTGTCAGCGATGACTCTGTCCTGGGCTGTGTCGCAGCATCCAAAAGTTGAATAAGTTGTACAAAAAGTCAGAGGTTTGGAGGGTTGAAAAGGTGGTTTATAATCCAAGCACTGTGGGTGTCCTATCACAACACATGTGTGAAGGACAAGGACAAGCCACAGGCTAAGCACCAGATGGATTGTCATGGAGGCAAAGTGAAGGATTCTGGGAAGGATGGAGATCTTTTTCTTTCCTGGAGTCTATATGCTTGTCCTTTTGTTCTCTTTATCTCTGTTGCATTTTTCTTTGTTAGTCCAACATGTTACTCATTGTCTTCTCCATTCCTTGGCTTTCCCTTCTATTGGTCAAGACTTTTGCTTCCTCTTCTTCTTTGATTGTCTATGTTTCTTCTACCCAGACTCGAATCAGTGACTCACCTCTCCTCATATCCTGTCAACTCCATTAATTCTCTCCTCCTCTTCTCTTTAAGTCTAGATCTCTCCCCATTTTTCTTCTTTCTTTGATAGTGACTCCTCCAGCTTTCTCACATTTGCCTGCCAGCTGTTCAGCAATACCTTTGATACCTTAGCTGAGGTTTGTAATCGTCAGTGACTGTATGCGCCTGTCTTCCTCCAGACACAGAGCTGCTGAATCTGATCCACATACAGCGTGGTTTTCCCCCTCCTTCTTTTCCTCTTCTCTAATCCAGCCCAAATTGTCGCTCATCACCCTGCAAACTTACATCCCATCCGTGGTCGGGCACCTCAAAGAATTGTGTTGTTCTGCATGTAGCCACAATACTTATTATTTAACAACTTAGTGAAGTTGCATCTTACTTTACAAATTTTATGTTAAAAGACAAAGATTGCCAGTGTAATGCTGTTCATAAATGAGGTTAAATAGGCTCCAGGAAAGAAGACTGGTAACTCCAGGCAAAAAGCGAAACTGTTGCTTCTTGAAGAAGTGGTCATGGGGAGTTGGGGACCTCTTAAGTTGCGATTGTTTTGATAGGTTACAGTATGCTCCAGTTTCAGACAGCCACTGAACAAGTGCAGATGTAAACAGTTGCGAACTTGCGCAAAACAGGCGCAAAATACGCGCAATTGGAAAAATAGTGCAAGCTCTGGTCAAAACAGGCACACATGTTAAAAGACAAATTTGCACATAAAAAAAAAATGAGGTTAAGACTGTTGCAATTGCTTTGATAAATTCCCCCCAGACTATTTTAGACTACAAGAGTATGCCTGTGCTTAGAAAAGGCACTTACTATTAAAATAATTTACTGTGTCAACACTGAAACCCATAATATCATCAGCAAGGTGAAGTTGATCCATAGCCACCAATCAGTACAGACCGATACTGTCACGGATCGAGGCTCATGGGTAAGAATTGGAGTCAGGTATGTGGACCCTTTCTACTACACTGACAGTGACACTTAGATAAAAGGGTCCAAGCAGTGTAGGCCGACAACTCCCAGAGCGGGAGTACTAGCAGGGAATGGAGCTGAAGAGCTGAATGAGGCAGTGGAAGTCAGCTTCAGCTGGAAGTTCAAATACGAGGCAGGGTGCTGCAATGCTGAGTAGGTGGCATGGGATGCTGAGTAGGTGGCATGGGGTCCCCCAGGATGTGGAATCTAAGGGCCAGCCGGTATTTGTCAGAGCTCCTTATGGTGGAGATGGGCTTGGCTGCGTGCTGACCCCAGGTCACAATCCCTAGGTCCACCCAACTCATCTAACAGGTACAGGGTACGAATCAAAGGTTAGGGACAGGCTAAAGACTAAGACTTCCAGGGACAAAGCGAAGCACAGGGTAGACTGTAGACAGGGGTTTCCAGGGACAAAAGAAAAGCACAGGGCAGACTGTAGACAGGGGTTTCCAAGGACAAAGCAAAGCACAGGACAGACTGTAGACAGGGATATCCAAGGACAAAGCGAGCGAAAGGTTCAGTACACGGGCAAACTTCCAGGAATTCAGGGTCAATCGCAATTGGGGGACTCGGCAACTAGCTTGGGAAAGCGTTGCTCGGGCCCCGTGCCGTTTGCTGCCGTGGATTTAAATAGAGACAGGAAGAGGGAGGATCCACAGGATTGGCCACAGCAGACGGTACTGATTGGCCGAGAAGCTGCATAAGAAACAGCAGGAGAGGTCGGCAGACGCCTAAAGTTGCCAGACTGGTGCAAGAGTGGGTCGGCTCAGAGCACATGTCTGGAGGACTACAAGCAACAGCACAGCCCTGCATGCCTGCAGAACCAGGAGTAAGAGGTCTGTATATACTTGTAGAACTACAAGTAACAGCTCAGCTGCAAGTCTGCAGCTGAACTGTAACAGATCAATAATTTGTAGCTGGTTTGGAGGGTTACTGTCCATCACTACCCTATGCACTATGGTGTTAAATGATAAAATATACAGGGGGGAATTTATAAAAACTGGAAAAGTTCCCTTCTGAGTATCTTCCCATATCTGGGTTATTTTAGGATGTGCTATTTCCCAAATGAAAGCCACCTTCCGGAAAAATGTTTGAGGTAGCCAAAACAGACAAGTCTAGTTTGCTTGTGCTAGATACTGCAAATAATACAATTTGATGCATGTTGTCATGGAGGATCACCTGCATGGTTATTTATTATTGGTATTTATATGGTACCAACAATTTACACAGTACATTCACATCAGTCCCTGCCCTCAAGGAGCTTACAATCTAAATACCATATCTTACATATACTAGGGCCAGCTTAGACGGGAGCCAATTAACCTAATGTTTTTGGAGTCTGGGAGAAAACTGGAGTACCTGGAAGAAACCCACACAAGCACAGGGAGAACCTGCAAACTCCATGCAGATAGCATTTCAACCAGGATTTGAACCAGGGCCCCCCAATGCTATTAGGCAAAAATGATAACCACTGTGTTGCCCATCTGATGTGAACTGATATGTAATCCTTAGTGCAGATACTACCATAGCTGTAAAATGTGCAAAGGTGAATCCAGGTTTTGTATGCAGGCAAACTAGAGGGTGCTCTGAGCTACCCAGACCATACTGATAAAGAAGCACTGAAATTACTATTTACTCACTCCTGCTGATATAACCAGTTTTATGGAGCAGAACATCCAAAATGAGATCATTTACAAGCCAAAATAGGCAGAGATAAAGACAATGCCTGTTTCACGATCTCATGTTCTTTGTTTGAACAGTTGTTTTTTTATTGTTCAGATCTATAAATGGATTAATGGAATAAGCCAGCATTGATTGGAGGGGAATGCCTTTGTTTGCTCCTAGCCTAGGCCCGCATAGCTGTAGATTATGCTGATGTAGGCAGAAAGTGTTTAATAACAATAAACTGTCGGATTCTACACAAGAATGCAAAAATGAGGCTTTGTGCTGGTGGTAGATTCAGAGTCAGTAACAGAAGCCCATCTAGGAAGACACCAAGATTACTTTGTGAATAAAAAAAAAAGAAAGATTTTATAATGTATTGTATGGGACTGTTAGGGTAAATCGACCCCTGCAGATGGCAGTTCAATATGCAGCCGTTTGGACTGTTTGAGAAAATCAGCCTGAGTCACCCAAGCATTCATGTTTATTGATTGGAGGCGAAAAGTGAAGGTACACGCAGACAACTCTAACACCAGGTACACAATATTATGCATACATACATTGATCCGGCTTGGTCCACTGTTAGCCCTTGAGGGGTGCATTGCCAAAATATGATCCAGCTTGGCCCAATGTGAGTATGCATATGTCATACCTGATTGGCCCACAGGGATCCTGTAAATCCTGACAGCGATCTTCTGGCTCCTGTATGGTGCTATGCTGAGCTCCCCCTCTGCTCTGAATAAACAGGGGGTTGCTTGCTCAGCACAGCAGCCAAGCAGAGGATTCCTAATATTTTTATCAATCAATACACGGCATTCTATGATTGGATGAGGGGTGGTGACATCACAGTTTATTATCACTATTGATTTTCTCTCATTCAGCCTATGGGCCCCCTAACGCACCTTGTGAGCTAAGCTAACCAGTGGCATCACAAGAGGGGGGGGGGGGGGGGGGGGGGGGGGGGGGGAGCG